CTGGAAATAAATCCACACAAAAATACAGAAAGTAAATCTATATACACAGTATATATTTGTGTATATATATTTTCTATTTGTACTTATCTACCAAAGATTTCTTATTTTCAGTTATGTTTTATATGAAAAATGAATTTGTTACAATGGTCTATAGGTCACTTGTATATCTGACTAAAAATGTGAACTTGTGAATTGGGGGCTTATCTGCAATAACAATGTAAAGAAATGCAATTTGTTGGGATAAGTTATTGTTTTTCTTTTTTTTTTTACTTTCTGTTAGAATAGAAAATCATATTTATTAGAACAATACTGTGGTGCTTAGTATTCTGCACATATGTTAGGAAATGGCTGTTTTTCATGAAAAACCCCAAAACTGCATGTCTATGCTTCAAAAATAAAACAAGTTCCTTCTTTTGTAATAAAAAGATTTTCTCTAACATTTTTGCAGTTTATAGAATTTAAATTTTTATTTATTATTTCCTTAGTAAGCAATAAATGGTAAGCAGAGTTAAATCATTCAAAAACTAAACTCCTGCATGAAAAGGTGATTATTTGCAAATGATGTTTATGTTTTGGTTGTGAAGTGTCACGTCAAGAAATCACACTAACAAAAAAAAAAAAGTAATAAATTACTTTTCCTAAAGTTTGATAATATTTGAAAGTGAAATAAATGAGACCAATTCCATGACTAACTAGTGAAGGACAGTGTTATAGAGCACTTTGAAGTTGTGTCAAATAAAAAATGACAATTTGTCAGAATGATTGTTACTTTAGTCGTTTTGGTTTATTTGTGGCCAGTAGTAGGGGTAGCTGCGCAGTTTCAGTTGTTGTGTCCTTGGGCAAGACACTTCACCCCTAATGCCTCTGATGTGTGTCCCATCAGTGTATGAATTTGATTGGCACTGATTAGTCTCCATAGCTGATTTAGCTTTGTAGAGACCTGTGTGCTGTGTGTTGGGTAAATGAAGGCACAGATTGTAGTGTGAAGCGCTTTGAGTGTCCTGGATGGATAGAAAAGCGCTATATACTGTAAGGACAGTCCATTTAGAAGCAATAAGTTGCCTTTTTGAAAGATGGTTTACTTGTATCACTTTTTTATTTAAACGTTGTCTAATTTAAGTTCTTCAAGTACAACCAGCAGCACACCATGCACAGAAAGGGCAACAGTCAATAAAACTGCCACCTTCCAAATCGTTCATCTTGTACAGCTTCAGATATTCCAGGATCCATGTGTGTGGCATTGTCATGGCTTTCTTGTAATCAATCCAGGTAACATGAAATGTGTCAACTTTGCGGTGTCTCCTGTTCATGTAAATATGTTGTTTTTTCTAAAAACAATGAAAACAACAACTATAGGGATGACAGTAACAGTACCATACTTTCCGGACTATAAATCACTTCGGAGTTTAAGTCGCAACAGTCAAAAAATGTGTCGTGAAGAGGAAAAAAACCAAAGATAAATCGCATCTAACTATAAGTCTGTCACTTAAGGGTTGCTGGTTCAATCCCCCGTTCCAGCTGTCTCAGTTGTTTCCTTGGGCAAGACACTTCACCCACCTTGCATACTGATGGTCGTCAGAGGGTCCGGTGGCACCGGTGCATGGCAGCTCCACCTTTGTCAGTGTGCCCCAGGGCAGCTGTGGCTACAGTGCAGTTTGCCATCATCAGTGTGTGAAAATTTGTAATGAACAGAGTTGTAATGAAATTGTTATCATTAAATGGAAGTCTGATTAAAATAGCAGAAAACCCAGTTAATTCTCTTCTAAAAACTTTATTCTCATCTCTGGCTCTAATCAGCTCCACAGCAGTCAGCAGCAGGCCTTGAGCCTTATCAGAAAAGCGTACCTTCCATGTTTTCCCTCTTCACTAATTTTTTGTGTGTTATTAAAGAGATCCTCGATTAGTTGTAACATAAGACTTTATTTGTTAAATATATACTTCAACTGTAAAATAAAGACTGTAAAAATACTCTAGGCTGTTAAGTTTAGTAAATTTTTTAAGAAGTTTAAAAATAGCGCCAACACTATATTGCCTTATATGTATTAGCTCGGCGCTAGCGCAACAAACAAGCTAAACTGAAGTCCTCCAACCTTTGATCTCGCCGAGTTCTTTTGTCTGAAAACAGTTAAACTGAGAACATTGCACTGGAAGTTTAAAATAGTTTTAAGTAAATTTATTGCACACCAGATATTGAAACAAGACAACCACAATTAATTTACAAGACCTCTCAGAGAAACGG